TATTATACTATAATAGATAACGAGTTTAATCAAACGTACCGACTAATCTTTTTTAAATTAAATACTTTTTTACTGCAGAATTCATTTCTCGATGTGCGTGTATAAACAATATAAAGATTAGCAATTAATTAAGGTATAATAATATATTTATACTCATATTAAGGGCAAATAATTATTCTCCTTCCAGGGGCTCTATTAAACCTTTACTTCAATTCACTAGTTTTCGTAGTTCGCTTGACCAGTTAATATCTTTCAATTAATTAAGATTTTTAGTTGAGATAAAAAAGTCAATGGCACGAGCGGGATTCGAACCCACGTTCTTCGGCTTGATACGCCGCTGCTCTACCACTTGAGCTATCATGACCTCGATCCACTCGGACACCAACTTCCCATCTCAACCGCACCTTTTGAATTTTCCCTCCTTTTTGCCATTTTTCAATTTTCATTTTTAAAATCCCGCTCGTGCCATTGACTTTTTTATCTAAACTAAAAATCTTAATTAATTGAAAGATATTAACTGGCCAAGCGGACCACGAAATTAGTGAATATAACGATTAGCTTTGAAAAGTTCTCTTCGGTACCGGGACCTTCGATGCGTACCAAACCTGATCAACAAAGTTTAACTTGAAAATCTAAATGGATGTCTAGTTGTGCTTAACTAATGTCAAATTTTCTTTCCACCGTAAGAAATTACCTCAGCAAATTGTACCTCACGACGCTTAAAGTAATTGTGCCATCAGTTTTCACTTCGGCGAAAAGCTCCTTTTTTTCGCCTTCCTCCCTTTTTAATTATTCCTGGTCACGAAGCAGACTTCTGGAAATAAAGGACATTATTAAATCTCGTAAAAATACATTTTAAAAAGGTTTCTAGCTTATTTTCTTTGCCTTAGCAAAGCTATATTTCACGGTTTAATTTACGAATTTAAAGGATTTGTAAATCGCTTTTTCAGCTTTTTTATTACATTTTTTTACATGAGTAAAAAATGTAATAAAAAACGTAAGTAAACGAAGAAAAATCTTAAGTTTTAATACTGAAAATCATTGTAATTAAAACAGTTCAAATGAATTACTATAATATTATATAAAAATACTAATGTGTATGCATGAAGGTAATGCCATTTCTCAAGATTACAATGAGAAAGGTAAATATTGAAAAGCTGTTTACGCTCTTTGAACTCTGGACCCGGAGGCCGGTGTTCGGCCCAACTTTGCTTTGACCGGCCTAGTCCTTGTATCGCAGTCGGAGAGTGAACATATTAATTAATTGCCCAGTTTGTTTGATCAGTTGGCCCGACCAAATCGTGGTTTCTGCAGATCGTTAGCGGAAATAAAATACTTAATTTTATTAATTCTCTCGAGATCGTCATGGCGATTCCACCCTTTGAAGCTCTCGCTGGAGTGTGCCCAGAGGATGTAAAGGTTTCCCATCCCTTCCCATCGTCGAACACTCTTTTCCTTTTTATTCCAACTCGAACCACTCGTTCTGGCACTGAACAGCAACAGAAAGTGAGTTTATTTTTCATTTCATTTCTTTTTTTACATTAATTTTCTACCGTTCACTAAAAGCACGCAACAGAAGTTAACGAAGAATTACATTAACATTCCTTTTAACAAATAAATGTATTTTTTTAATTGTTTGGAATAATAATAATCAATTATAGTGAAAAGAAGAACCAAGAATAAATTCTCTAAGTAGTATAAGAAAAAAAAGAAGGATAAGATGGAGGGTTTGTGGTTTTAATAAATAATTATAATAATATGATTGTAATTGAAAATTTTACAAATCAAAATGAAGGTAGGCGAGAGAATTTGTTTAAAAGGCGTTGCGTGGGATGAAGTTAAGTAAAGAAAAAGTGGTCAGTATCGGTCGAAGGGAGTCACAAAAATGACCCAGAGATCTTCTTTTACCGCCAATACTCAAGAATAATTTTCTAGTGGGAAGAGGGATCCAGTCGATGAAACAATTTTGCAAACAGAACCTTTCTTAAGGGACGAAACCGTTCATTCTTAACACTCTTCCTGGATCCTGTTCTCCTTTAAGGACATGAATGCGTATAATCAATTTGATCACCAATTAAATTGTTTAAAATGACAAGTCTTTTCATTACAGTAGAATTAAAATATTGTTTGTTACTGTGTATTTATTTTAATTTGTAATAAATTAGGCCCTGACGCATCATAAGCTCTGAGAACCCAGCAATTAGTCTTCTTTTTTTCACCTGTCTAATGAGCTCTACAAAGATTGGAACTCTAAATAAAATATTCATATTTTTTGTTCGATATAATAGTTTTCTTTTACGTTTGACTATCAGTCCAGGTAGTTTTATCATTCCACCAATTAAACAGTTTTATTTATTTAAACTGCGTACCATGGCATGATTATTTATATGCTTTTATAATTTGCCTATTATTGATCATTTTTGTCTCCCTGTCCTCGCTGACTTGGTCTGTTGGATTAAGAGGTAACTACCAAATTACAGTAAAATTCAATTCTTATAGAAATTAGTTTACGGAAATGAGGACGATTTGATCATGGAACTCAGTTTTCGCCTGGTTTATTTCCCTCGTTTTAAAGCCAAGGAATATTTTAATATAAAACCGTCTTATTGAGAACGCTTTTCAATAAACTTTTATAAGTTTAAAATGTCTGTATTATGAAAGATATTGTCACAATTTTTAACGAACTAGAGTTTTCTGGAATTTTCATTTAACCTTGGTTTATGGCATTAAAAATTGTTTAAGACTTAAATACGGTCCCATATTTTTAAAATTTTTAAAATTATTTTCTTCCATATTGGTTTTTGAAATAATACCATCAACAACATTGAAGTCGGTATCGTTTGTGCCATAGACATGCAGGTGTTTTTTTAATGTCAATTTTTAAAAAATTCAAGTGTTCATTACAAAATAACTACAAAAATATTCTAATTTATTCAATGTTCTTATTTATTTTTATGGAGACATTCACGTCAATAATGATTTTGTGTCAAAGTAACCGACTCTCTCTCGTTTCTTGTTGCCAGGGATAACCTTTTACTTAAGATTATTTGGAGATCGTGAGATACGGTCTGGAGTGACGTAGGTTTTAGGAAAACAATTTCTTTATCGTGTCAACGTTTCGATCTTTATTGAGATCATCTTCAGTGCCTGGGATTGATAAAAATTGAATAAATTATACAAATGAATGTAGGATGTGAAAAAAATGAATTTCCTCAATGCTAGAAGTTTTAGACTCAATCAAAGTATTCGTACTCACTCATAGTGTTTGTTTGAGTTTGTGTCATTATTGTGTGAAATATGTATAAAAAAACTATAAATAAATATAAAGTTAAATAATTTCTTTTCATCCCCGTGGGTATTCTCAATACGACACGCAAGAATGACACATCTACAGAGAAAGCAAACACGTTGGGCCCTGAAGATGATCTCAATAAATATCGAAACGTAGGCACGACAACGAAAATGTTTTTCTAAAACCTACGTCACACCAGACCGTATCTCACGATCTCCATTTAATCATTAACTAACGGTCACTATACACCACACGTTTTTACTCAAGGATGCAAATATAAAAATTTATATTACATCAAGTTATTTAGCATGCACACTGCCACCGAGTACTCGATATTCCTCGGAGTAATTGAGTAAGGCCGACTCCATTCATGCTAATAAATTACATTCACAATCAGATTTCAATCACACTGTCCTACAGTATTAGATATTTCTCGGGGTTTCTACTTGAAAACTAATAAATTAAATCCACTCAGTAAATTGATATAAATAAAAACTTTCTCTCCCCATGGAATCCGGCGTACCAGGCTTATTCTTGGTAGGCACGGAAGAAACAACGACTACATCAACAGATTTAGGATAAGAAAAGACCCTTTATGCTCGTGTTCTCAGCAGCAACCGCAGGCATGGGAATATCTTATTTCAATGTCCTAATCACATGGCCGCGACAGCAGGACTGCTCAGAGAGGTGTCATTCAGGGGAGACGAACCGCATAGGTTGCTGACTGTTCAGACCAATTTTTATATTTTGGGACGAATTTCGATTTAAATTGAATAAATTATTACAATAAAGTATACCGATCATTTATCTTATAAATTAAGTTGAATATTATTGTTATCAGATTCACTAGTTTCGTGGTCCGCTTGACCAATTAATAACATACAATTAATTAAGGTTTTTAGTTGAGATAAAAAGTAAATGGCACGAGCGGGATTCGAACCCACGATCTTCGGCTTGATACGCCGCTGCTCTACCACTTGACCTATCGTGACCTCGATCCACTCGGTCACCAACTTCTCATCTCAACCGTCAAGAGGCGTATCAAGCCGAAGATCGTGGGTTCGAATCCCGCTCGTGCCATTGACATTTTTATCTCAACTAAAAACCTTAATTAATTATTGTTATCATTATCCACCATGAATATTAAAAAAGTAAATTTGTAATTGGAAATCAATGAATAAAACAGTTCCAATTAATTATTCTTTTCATCTAAGGTTTTAGGTCGAGAAGAAAAATTAGTACCAAGTGCGGGTTTAGAAACCACGACCTTCTGTATGAAATAATGAATACCAAATTAGGTACCGGCAATATCTTCGTTTTTAAAATTAAGATCAATTTTTTTTTGTAACCACCTGTAATAAAAAAAATTACGGGTAGAAAAATAAAATCCTCATCTGTAGAGTTACTCCAGTTAAGAATTAAAAAAAAAATCGTTTTGCTTAGTGAATTACAGTTATATCAGAGAAATAACTAAACGCCATACGAGACACAATACAAAATTATTTTATCCTATAAACTTAATCACCCAAAGGTTAAAAAATTGTCGGAAACCAAGTTTCAAAAGAAGATAGAAATATTTATTTAAAAAATAGAAGAGAATCAATATCCACGATGGTAACCGGAGGTGGCCGAGGTTGTCTGGCCTCCGGGAGGGGTGGCTTTATGAAAACGGGAGGGCAGTTAAAGGTTTAGTGGTGATCAGGTTGCGGGCGAGAGAACGGCGCCCTTTCACCCTTCACCTCCCAGTCAGATCCGCGATCTTTTCGCCTCACATGGCCGCTCTCTGTATCGAAACAAATGAAGAATTTGAAATAGAAGAATGAGGAAAACGGTCGAAAAAGGGCAAATTTAATTTCCGTTTTCCCACTTTTTTCCCCTAAGGGCTATTTTTCAAAATACGTTCACAAATAATCAAACAAATAAGGGCAAAACATGGATTACAGAACGTTCTGTCTCGTTTGGAGCGTACTGCAGATATACACAGGTAAAATCAAAAATTTGCAATTTTACAAAATTCTCCTAAACGTCAGATTATTTTTATATCTTCTTTTTGTACAATTTAAACAAAACCCTTATTTATAAAGATTTTAAGAAATATGCTTTGTGTCAATGTGTTATTATTTTACTTTTCTATTAAAAAAAAACACATCAAATATATGATACTTATTCTCAGCAATTGTTATTTCTGAATTATTGTCTGTAGAAGAAACAAAACAATTGTTTCTCACCGTAAAGTAAATATTTGTATTATCTTATATCTACTAAATTTGGATGGAGAATGCATGTTGACCATGATTGCCAGATAAGACGCTCAATTTACGTCATTTTTTCATTTTTGAATGTGATACTGTGCAAGTTAAGATATAAAATGATATAAATTAATTAAAACAACATGTTTCTAGTTTTTAGAGAAGAATTTTTTTGTTTACTTTCAAAACATCATCCTTAACTAACTCATACCAATTTATTTTCCATGGAAAAATAAACTCGTCAAAAGAATTTAAATTGGTCTGTACTCTTTGATGAAAGGAGATGAAATTACTAACGTTAACAGTTTAATATAAACATAACTAAAGGCATGAAGTGGTGTAAAATTATTTGCCAACAGTTTGATGGTACTAGATCACCTGCTCTGTTGTCGCTTCTTGTTTTATTTAAAATTAGTTTCGAAAATTTTATCCTGTTAGAAAGATTTAGCGAGCATGGGCGGACAGCAATCAAATGGAAAACGCTTTATAAGGATAAATTCGTATTACTTGAGAAAGTTCTGGCAGATTAGGGATTTCAATTTTAATGAAGTCTGTGACAGGATCAGGAAAAAAATAATTTATACTTCTAAAACTTGGGATGGTTAAGAATGACCAGGCACAATTAGCATGATCCAGTAATGTATTTGATCAATATTAGTAATAATAAAAGAACAAATTACAAAAATGTAATTATTTAAACAGTTTGTAAGGGTTTCCATTATCCAAGTAAATTAAACTCGAAGTATTCGAATTTTTGTTTATATGAGATGTTAAAGAAATTTAAAAAAAAATATTCTATAGGTGAGAACACTTCTCAGAATTTCGTCAGGTTTAGTTGATAAGACGGTGGGAAAAAGCTTTCGAAAGAAAAGGGGTGGGCGAGCATTGAAGATGACGTGTCAGTAGCATAAGTGGGTTGGGTTCTGATGAGATGGCTGAACTGCACTGGGATGATTCCCAGTGTCCGCTCCTCTTCTTCCGTATATTTCTTCGTCTTTCTTCCGGCTTTCCTACGACTCCAATCAATATAAACCGCCGCATCAGTTTTTGCAGGAAAATACGGCCTCACGAGTATCGCGGCCTCAGACGGGAGGCGAAATCTATTCCGTTTTCCTTTAGCTCCTCTGCTATATTTACGGGCGATGCTTATGTTTGAAATAGAATTTTTATAACCTTATTACTGGAGAGATTCCGTTCCGAGTTACTTTCACCCCTTTTATGTCAAGGGATAACATTTGATTTCCTAGACTTTCAAAATATGCAATCATACTTTTCCCAGACATATTATTTTCAATAATCAGTTTTTATATAATACATTCCTACTGAATCCTTAAACCTTATTGCATTTTAAAAACTTTTTTTTAAATCAGTACAGGGCAAATTTTATGTCTTATGCCAATAAGAGATATCACAACTATTTAATTAATTAAAAAATGGAAGTAGTCTGTTCACTTTTGTATGCAATTTTTGTTTTCCAGACTAGAAATAAATATTTTTCATTTTATTGTATGCGATACATTAACAAACGCTTAAAGCAATGTTATATATTGTGAAAAGTTTTTTTATATTTTAAGGCAATTGCAAGATTTAAAAATGTATATAACAGTTGATAAAGCAAGTCTACAATTGAAAAAAAAATTGATTACAATCTTAGAAGATTATTCAGGAGGGCTGTTCCACTTTAACATCGGGAATTGTACTTATTAAGTACCCTCACCGTCATCTTCTTCTTGTTTTTTTTTTAAATTTAAACATTTAGAAAACGTTTATATTTATTAACTTCAGGATAAAAACAACAGTTAGTTTTTCTGTTGCGTGTTCCCTTGTGGAAGGTAGACGACTTTCAGATTTCGGTTTTATGAAGTCTGTGAGAATAGGTGAAGCCCGTTCTACGGCGGATTTGAGTGCTTGGCTTTTTAACAGTTCTGATACTTGACTTTAATCGTCAAAGTTTACATCCCTTTTAAAGGACACATTTACAGTTTTCCCTGAATAGGGTTATTCCTGGCAAATAAAACATTTTCGATTTGAAACAGTTTGTCTTGACTGTACAATTTCCTATATGAAACTTAATCTGATCAACATTATATCGCGATAAAAGAAAACTTTAATTATCCTTTACCAATAATAAATCTAATGTGAACCAATGTCTTAACAAATAAAATGTTTCTATGATGGAAAGAAACTGAGAAAGTAATTACATTTTATTAATCTTGCAAAGAAAAGAGCTTTATTTAGCGTAGATCTTTGTTTTTGTACAAGTATTTTGCTTTAAAAATAAAATAAAAAATAAACAAATACAAAATAAAAGAAATAGACGGTCTATTATTGTACGCTATTTTGTTGGCTTTATGTAATTCGCAGATGGAATCAAACGAATAAAACGTCGTGGTGGAAAATCGTTAAAAATTGATTCAGTATGGATAATAAAGAGTAATTACCTGCTATTGTTGTGAGTTGAACATGTTTATTATACATTTGTATAAAGGTTAACAAACGACGTTTCAAATGAAAAGGCAACACGCGCCGGCGTCGAGGTCTCAATTTTCCAGCAAATTCATCTTCATGTATTGTTTCTTTTTGTCTTTCACAATCGCTATGTTTTGCGTTTGTTCTCTCTTCTCTCTCCCTCACCTCTACTCTTTCCCTCATCACCTCTCTCTCACTCACCTCCACTCTCTCTCTCTCTCTCTCTCTCTCTCTCTCTCTGCCTATCAATCTATTTTTTATTAATGCTTTATCTCTATAGTGTTATTTATTAAGAATTAATGTTTTTTTTAACAAAGTTATACAATTATTTACAAAAATTTAAAAAAACTTCCACTTTCACGGCGCCCCAATTATACTAAACCATCACGACAGGTATGTCTTGCCAAAACTGATGACCTGTGCGCCGTAAAACCCAGCTTCGTTCTCGGTCTATCATCCGTATCTCCATTGAAATCACACAAATTGTCAGCTTTCGATAAAAATATTTAAACTCCAATCGAAAGCTTGAAACATAACCTTATTCCTTTTGTTTTTTCCGGAATGTTTAAGGAAACAAATAGCAACAAATCCTCTCTCTCTCTCTCTCTCTCTCTCTCTCTCTCTCTCTCACTCTTTTTATTAGTGCTCTATATCTGTAGTGCTATTTAATAAGAATTAATGTTTCTTTTTACAAAGTTATACAATTATTTATAAAAATTAAAAAAATTTCCACATTCACGGTGCCGCAATTATACTTAACCAAAGCGACAGGTACGTCTTGCGAAAATTGATGACCTACGCGCCGAAAACCTAGCGTCTAGGTCTCATTTTTCCATCAAATTATCTTCATGTAATATTCGAAAGATCACGTTCATAAAACATGTTCGCTCTCTTTCTGTTTATCTTTCACTATCGCTACCTTTAGCGCTTGTTCTTTCTATCACTCTTTCTCTTTTTTTCAGGATCATTTCATTTTGTGCTTCTTTTTTACTTGTTTTCTCTATTAATTTCGTTTCCCAGGTTTCTCTCATTGTCTATCCCACGTTTTTTGTTCAAGTTTCTATTTCTCAGTCTACCTGACTGTCTCTCTATTACTCTTAATTATATCTTCATTGTTTTCTCTTTACACACGCTTTTTCAAATTTTTCAGATTCTCTGTGCCCTATTTTCTTTCTCTCTCTCTCTCCCTTCCTATCCCCCTTTCCCTTTTTCTCTCTACCTCCCTATCCCATTTTCCATTATCTCTCTTTCTTTCTCTCTCTTTCACTGTTTTTTATCTATCTGCAACCTTCCTACCTTCTGTCTATCTACTGACCTAATGTTTTATAAAAAATAATATATTTTTAAAAGAAACAGTCAAGGTGTGCCACAGGTGGTTTTGGTTGAAAGTTTAAAGGGCCGACAAGAAGCGAATTAACCATTTAATTGAAAATCATCTACAGTAAACCTCGTAGGACATTATTAACATTTTTATTTTATTTATTGACATTCGTTGCGGGAAGACATTCCAAAATTTTAACAAGTCATTTCTCTGAAGGCTGTTGACGAAGGCCCAACATTGATTTTACGTAACAATCCACTTCGACAGAGTTAATGGCGAATGGCAAATGAAAGTTCATTAACCACTTCCAAGTTTCGTCAACAATCATCATGCTGTGCTTTTGATAGGGTTGAAATCCTTCACTATGATCCGCTTTCTGAGAACCGACCAAAAGGTCAATTCCATCAAATGCTGCTCGACCAATAGGACCAATGGCAATACCAGAGGAAACCGTTTGGGAGGATAACGTAAAGAACGGCTGACATGGTACAAAGTCATTTATAAAACATGGTAAATGTTATATTCAACAAATTTATTCTTAAAAAAATAATTTAAATAATTTAATAATATTGATTTTTGACTTATACTAATGACTTCAATATTTGTTAAAAGTTAATGGCCATAAAGTAATTTAAATTAAATATAATTAATAGAAGTCATAAATAAAGATGTTAGTTTTTATTTTTATGCCTCTTCCAAATCTCTCTCTCTCTCTCTCTCACACACACACACACACACACACACACACACACACACACACGCACGCACGCACGCACGATTTACGCTTGATATAAACCACACAGAATATAACAACGTTTTTTGAGTAAAAAAGTAATAAATAGTATATAATAGTAAGTAGTAAGTAAAACTAACAAAATATTTTCTGATTTCCTACAAAGTAATTAGAAACCTTACAGTTCACAGAAGGGAACAAAACAAATCTTT